GACCAGGTAAACCGATACTTGGTGTGTCCCAAGCGTGCGCTTTATCACCTGCGCTGCATACCTCGGCAACAGTTACATCAGAATTCCTTCAACGGGTTTTTTTCAACTTGAGCCAACACCTTCAACTCATGGACCATCTTTTGGTCATTGCTGGTTCACTTGGCTGATTTTCTTCTTCTTTTTTTTAGGGGAGGGCTGGCTTGGGTGTCTGAATTTTGCTTTATTTCTTTCTTTCTTTCCCCTGTAAAGAAGCTCAATAGGGCAAAATGGTGTAGTGGTTTAAGAGTCTTGGAGAGATTGAAATATGCATTAGTGACTTTTTTTTCTTCAAACGGTAATTTCACCTTCCATGGAGTTTGCTTTAAAATTTGTTTTGCATTAAAGAAAGTTTCTGCTGGACCATTTTTTTAAATTATAGAATAGTAGTTTTTTATGGGATGCTTTTAGGCAAACATACAAACTAATCGTTGAACCTATGTTCCACTGGTAGCCCCTAAACCCAGTGCAAATTTTTTCAGGGATTTTAATTTTACCCAAATCTCACCCCTGCAGTTCTTTAAAATAACACAAAATAAACAAACAAATAAACAAACAAACAAAACATCTCACTTCTTTCAAAAAGAAAACAAACACAAGAAGTATGGGTTATGATCTCAAATATTTCCCCAGCCGTGTAGCTATTCTGAAAACAAACCCAGCATACAGTAGGACTTGTAGTTGGAGAATCATGCTGAACTAAACCGGCCAGCAGAGGGTCATCGTCCCTCATGGGAGGGGTCTAATTGGCCGGCCGCTGGGCCCCAATTTATCCAGTTGCTGAATTCATTTCCAATCTCTCGGCCTGATATTGGTTTGTTTATGTTTCGCTCTCATTGACGTTGACGATTTACCTGTGGAGTGCCGAAAACAGTTGCATTCGGCCATGAGAACTTAAGTTTGTCCTGGGTTGTTGCTTCGAGATTGACGCATGAAACTTGGAACCTTCAACCAAGAACACCCCCCCCCCCCTCCCCAGAACTGGACCTTAGGTTTTCCCGCGCTGGAAATAGCCTTAGGGACGTCACCTGTTCTTACAAGAAAACACAAGTTGTCTGTATGCTAACACGCTTACTCCAGAATAGCCTCTCCAGGAGCCGATTTCATGGAGCCAGCTAAGCAGAAAATATATGCTTAGCAAATTTATGTCCTGAGCAGAAATCAGCTGGGACCCAGTGACAGGCAGTATACATCAACAAGACATTTTGGCTGGTTATCTGTTTTGGCTAAGCAGAAATTGTCTGTGCTTAGCAAATTTCTATGGTCAGCAAATTTCTATGGTTAGCAAATTTCTGTGGTTAGCAGATTTATGAAAGTGGCTGTAGTTGAGAATCTTCAAGGAAAAGCTCTATTCTCACGGCAGCAATTGGAGTAGAAAGTTTCTGTAGTTTGAGACGCATTCCTTGAAAAGCTCCAATCGACCTATAGACCATTCTCATGTTGCGGCCTTCTTGATTTTTTTCCCATTCAAATCAATGTAACCAAAGCAAGGCGGGAAGGAAAAATAATGTGGTTCCTTTTTGCTCAAAAAACATTACAATTCAGTACTGTTATTGGATACAGGGAACATGACTGAAATGGTGGCAGCATGATAAAGGTCTGTTGATGGAATGTAAGGTTCTAAGTAGCTGAAAGTTGTTCAGTTGTAAAGAGCTTTGTGTGTTGAATATTGTGACAGAAATCAATACTGTTATCAGCCTCAAACATATAAAAAAAAAAACTCATTTTGTAGCCCCCATCAGTCTTTGAGTTGGATCTCATGCTTTGAAATTTGCTCAATGTATCCTTTGCATAAAGGTGATACATTCATGTGATAACGTACCTTCATAGAGACAACTTATGAAAAATATGCACTTTTTAATTGATCAATATTCCAAACTGTTCTCTCATATTTACAGACTATAACATCTGATGTGCTACTCACTGGACATGATGTACATTGGATTTTTGGATAAGACTATTTATTGAATACCTCCCATTAGAAAGTAGAAGAAAAATAAGATTTCTAGACAAGATCTGAGCAGAGTTTATCACGAGGGCATTGGCACTGTCAACTTTTATGTCTGACACCATGGAGGAGTCATTGTCCCAGTCTGTGCGTGCCAAACAAAACAAAACAAAACAAAATTCAGCACGATCTCTGTCTGTAGTACCTACTTGTATAATATCTGTAATAATTGATTCACAGGAGAGATGATATCAAAAATGCCGGGGGATTGTTGGTCCTCACGGGGGAGACCAGATGAGAGATGGGAGGCAGGGAGTCGTGGCAAGAATTGGGTAACTAGTTGCCGACGATGACAGAAGGAAAACAATAACAGATTGGGTGTGCTGGGTGTCCGTGACTTTTTTGTGTGTCCTGTCTCTGCAAAGAAGTAGGGGTTGTTCTTTTATACTTGGTGAAGGTTGGGGGGACCTGTGAATTCCTTGAAGGTCGGTGGTTTTCCACGGAAGAATGTCACCCCAAGAAGCAACCTTTGTGTAGACGTTGGTATATATAAACCTCTTTGATGCCGACTGTTGGCTTGGTTGTTAACAAACTTCGCCTTGGGTTCGCAATTAATTTTCAGGTTGTGCAAAGGCGTAGCAAAGGGGGAATGGGGGTTGTGACACCCTCCCCCAATTATTTCTCTCAGTCGGCATTTACAGCCTCAGTCGGCAAATGAACCACCACGGATGCTGCACCACCCCCACCCCCCCCCCAACCTTTTGTTTTTAATGTGCTTTTGCGACCACCGGCTGGCTACCTTTCTGCACGGAGGGTTAGTCAGCAAATTTGTTGTCACGTCCCCCAATGAAAGTGGTCTTGTTCCCTGATTCCCACAGCTGTCTGGTTTTAGGACTGACTCGCCAACTTATTAGAATGATATTTTCTGTCCCCCTAATTCAAATAAAATAGATTACAGTTAAGCGTTTCAATTTCCTAGTCGTGAAAAGGGGATGCATAAAATATTTCTGCTTGAGCCAGCCAGCACTGCTTGTCAGTACCCACCAGGACATGAAAATCACATAATCTTTCAAACAGCATTTTTGTGGTGTTTTAATATTTCTTGTGATAATAGATTTTCTTTTTACACCATTATTGCTCAGAAAACTGTATATGGCTATTTTTAAAGTTTTTTTCTATAGTAAATTACTGACGTTGCCATTTGCAAAAACCTTGCTTACACACGGTGAAAATATTTCATCTTGAGAAGGTGATTTTACAGCTTGAGTTTGTCTGTTTTTAATTAATCAAAACTAATTTTTATTAGGAAGTTGTGTCCTTACTGACTGCTTGATGTATACCTTTAAGATTTTTTTTTGCAGTACAGCGTCACCTTTAAGTAATTTTTGCCACCTAATAAGCGTGATACGGTGATTTACTGCACAGGGCTCATGTACGTGATTTACGCCCCGAATGTCCTCGTAAAATGTTCACAAGTGTTAATTGTCGACTTCATTTCGGTGGGAGGGTATTAAAAGATTTCAAGGAATCGAAATGAATCACGACCATCAATAAACTGCAGACGTGCACTTACCACCCTGTGTCTAACTATCAAGAGGTGGTGGTTAATTTGAACTTGAGGAATGTCCTGGGGGGAGAATAAAAGCCTAAAATACAAATGAAAGTGTTACCATCAAGGGGTAAACTCAAGCCTTCCAAAAGCATGATTAGCACCTTTTGTGGGTGTTGGATAAAACCATTTCTTCAGCACCTGTCAAAGTTTTTTGGTTGTAATGGGAGGAAGAATGGCTGTGCCTCGGAACCAGTTCCTGAGTACTGATGGGTACCTGGTACCCGATTAATATATGACCGCCGATGTCGGAAACCGGTTCCAGATTATGGAATAGAGTACCCGTAACCAACTTCACATATTGCAAAGTAACTTCTCAGACTATGAAAAAGAAGATTTGAATGTCATTTGTGGAGAAGTTTCAAAATGAAAAAAAAACAGGCTACATGGAAAAACAAAACAGATTCACGTTTATGACGCTTGCAAAAATGCCATTTACACCATCGGATTATTCTCACTGTAGGCCTACATACTTGTATCCCCGCCGGCTTGACCCACCGATGTGGTAGTACTATATTATCGTGCTGACCTTTATGAACAGCAACTTCTGACATTTAAATTTTGGGGTTGAGTGTCTTCAACGAGTACCCGTGTTTATTTCAATTGGGTAGCCGATTCCTGTACTACCTGTAAATGCACACCCCAAGGCGGGAGGAACTAAGTTTCTGATTCAGAGGTGTCCAAGTTGTAAAAGTCCCGAAACAGGTGACTCTTAACAAGCATGTGTACATTATACACCTGCTGAATTGGTAGAAAGGGAGGGATAGAGGATTTTCAAGTTGGTATCCATGGTATTTCTGTACATCATGTCCCAATCCATTTTGTCCCAACAAGCGTCTTGTAATCTGCACTACATTAAGTTTTCAGAAAAGTCTGGGTAATTGGATGTTTTTACACATAGATCTCATTGTAGTTAGGGAAATATTCCAGAGTGGAGGAATACATGTGGACAGGGGAAATATATCTCCATGATAAGAGATTTCTTGCCATTGATGATGATGGACTCGTGTCAAGTCTAAGGTTTGAGTCTCTTCTGCCAAGACTACTACAAGCCATTTTGAGATAGTAGGGCGTTAATCTTATTTTCCTCAAACCAACTAGCCCCTCATATTGTGTCTGTCATATTTTTCCAAAGGCTAATTGTCTTCACAGCGCCAGGATTTGTCATTTATTTGAATTCTTCATTGAATATTCCCCACCCCACTCCCCACCCCCCCCCCCCACACCTCAGCACCCCCACCCTACCCCCAGCACTCCCACCCCAGCACCCCATCCATTGCCATGTCCACCCATCTCCAACCACCTTTCTGAACCACCCTTAGGGCCTAACCTGCTCACTCGCCCAACGTTAAGCCCTCAGAAAAAATAATTATTCACCCTTTGAATTTTCTTTTTCCTCCATTGCAGGTGTTTCATTCAGGGTTCACTGGAGCCTACAAGAGTGTGACATTGTGAACAACTCAAATTTGACCCTTCACCTTTGACCTCGTAGTAGCCAGCTGAGATAGACGCATTTCGTCCCAAGAAAGCTTTGGATTGTTTTTGCATTCATTGGAATGTTTCAAAGGTGTGATGTAAAAAGTATTGAGCAAGCCAAGCTTCTTCAACTTTTTTGTTGATGACAGCAGTTTGTTGACCTCTTACCTTTTACCTTTTTAAAGCAGTAAAAGCTTACAAAATGTCCATATTAATTTATGGAACTGAACCCTATGTGAAGAAAGATTAGCGGAGCACTTTGCTATTTACTTTCTTTCTTCTAATTTTTTGAAATGGCAATTGCCACATATTTCCAGAGCAATTTTCATGAACATTGGTAAATGTATGTTTTCATTTTCATAGGTACCATAGATTTCCACTGTATGCTCATAGCCTCTTGTGCATGGGGTTTATGGTGCAGATTGTTGGGAGGTATTTTGTGGTGGAATCTTTCACCATGTGATACCTCAGTAGTAACTTATGGATACCAACTCATTGATGTCCTCTAAAGCCGCATCTAAGTTGTCTGTTGTGTGGCTATGATTCAGTGTTTACATTGAGATTTTACAGTGAATATCCATAGCCATAGAAAAAAATCCACATCACTACTTCAAAACAATACCCTATGGATAGCATAAGATAATTATATCACCTCAGTATCTTCCAAGTATCACCTCACTGTACCTCTCATTGATACCACTGCAACAGCATCCAATTGTATAGCAAAGTACTTTTTCTCAGTGGTATGCTGGCACATTGCGGAATATCTTCCCCGTGATATTTTATCGATATTTAACCTCAAAATGTTTAAAGAAGTAGGATCACCAAACTGTCCACCATATATTATATAACCATATTGATATATATTTTTATATCACTTAACTTTTATCTCTTTCAAGGCTATTCAAAAATGATAGTTCCCCATCGTTACTCATAACATGTACCTATTTTGATAGTTCATGGTTATCAACTGAAAATTGATATCAACTTGGTATTGGTACCCCAGAAATACTTGGTATTGCTATTATAGCTCCATGGTATTATTACATAACTGCTAGGGTTGTAATGGTTTCAATATTTGAACATCGCTGACAGTGTGTCTGGTTGTACCATATCTCACTACTATTGCAGTAATATAAATATATCAATTAGCTTTCATCACATGGGTGATGTACCACATAACTATCAATGATATCACAAAACTATCAGTGGTATCACATATAACTGGTAGTTTGTTGGTGCTACTGCGCCATAAAAATAGTTTCCCTCTTACATTAAAATATTGGCATATCAGGGTCGATTCTTCTACTTCATATTTGGTAACTTGAATATCCATGTTGTATAAAACCAGTTTTGGAAATCATTTGCAAATAGCAGAAACAAATCACAGTTTACTGAATGGTGGCATAATTAGTATATTACCCAAGGCTTAATTAAATTGCTAGTATCAAATGGCATGCAGAATTCCTTATGGTATCCAGGAGAATTCGTGCCTAATTGGCCATGAACAAGAATGTTCATGGGTGGGTTGCGGCGGAGTATCATGTTATTCACACGATAGGCTGCAGACGAATTGATACTTGTAGCTATAGAACCACATGGATACTCAATTGCATAGTTACCTACGGGCATGTAACGGGATACCGTGTGGCAAGTCTCGTGGTAACGGTCTGCTAATGTCAAGCACTAGCATTCGTGTTTTACCAATTCTTGAGCATTTTGTGGGCACCGTAGGTACAAAGAATCATTGTGGGTCTAGATTTGCAGACATATCGGTTAGAGAAGTAAGAATTAGGAAACGCTTATCTTTTCTACGCTACATCGAGCAAAAGCCAGGAATGTGCTGTAAACATTTAGCTATTTATTCCTGCGGTCATGTAATGCTGCCGCCATTATTGTCATGGGCGCATGCGCTTGTGATGCGCAGTTTTGATTGGACAAGCAAACTTTGTGATTGACAGTATAAACCCCGCCCACAGCGCAGATTGAGAAAAGTTTCTGCCTTTGAAAATGTCCAAAGCAATGTATTTTATTTCTCTCGGTATATAGATGGAAATTCTAAGCAACTTATGGTAGAGATCCTGGGTGTGATGCGCAACTGGTATAGAACAGTATTAACTGGCATTTGTTAAAGGAAACATTGGGGATGATTTACTAAGTGGATCAACCTCATAGCGCGCGGTGATTTGTTGCCGTTTTCCTGTCCTGCGCCATGTTGATTTATGTTTCTCATGAAGTACAGCACGCAACATAACATTTCGAGGGACATTCTTAGATTTGTCAGTGTCGAGTTGGGGTGAGATTATTTTACACAGCCCTAGACGAACATCGACGGTCGGGTGAACATTAAAGATTGCTATTATTTATCTAGCCATAGGGAGAAAATTAATACTCAGTTTTTTTATACTGTGATTGCCCAAAAGGATTTTGTTATGACAACGTGCATAAGTTCAATATGGAATGACTTCTTTACGTAAACGCGGTCGCAGACATATTATTTTTTTGTTAACTTGATATCACTGTAAACATCGGAATGTCTTTTTTAATCTGATGCAATGTATTAAGCCCTAAGCGGTAATTGTGGCTTTGGATTCCTCTTGGCATGCACTAGAACTTGGAAGTCACTGCCGTTCTTTCCATCTCTCGAGGGTTACTTTTTTTTTCCTTTCTGGTTGGCAAGCGACCTAGGCGAGGTCAAGGAGGCAAGCCGGGAGGGTTGGGGGCCGGACCCCGCCGGGGCGACGCTCATAACACGCTGCGAGTCACCGTCAAGTCGCAGTTGGGTTCGTTACTCCGAGATTGCCTTACCGTACCGTAACAATCGGCCCACCGCAGTCCTGTTGAAAACGGTGGACACCCGAGGATATACGCACTTGCACGGGGGGAGAAACATTAGAAGCAGAAACCTCATCGCCCTCAACTATTGTTTATGGGGTTGCGGATGAACTTGAAGGAATTATTTCGGTTGTTGCCTTCAGGGGTAGGGGAAAACATCTCCCGTTGGTCTATGCTTATAATGTGTTCGTGTTGCATCGTTTCTTGGAGTTGATTGAGCAACAGGCTTTCATGTACTGCGTTCATGCAGTCGACTTTCACCGTTGATCGTGGAGTTTAGTTGGATTGAATCTTTGGATTGTAGCGGAGTTTATGGAGTGTAACCGTCTGTATTGAAAACCTGAAGGTCAGTGGAGAGTTTATTTTTTCCTATTACCTGTCATTTACCGTTGGTGGGCCTAACAAATTTGATTGTCCAACAGAAGTCCGTTTTGTATTTTATGTCTGCGCCCTTGATGAACTGACAAATGCTCAACGAACTTTGGATGGTTTTTGTATGCGCTGGAATATTTGGGCTGTGCTGGCTGAGTTGGTGTTTGATACAAGGCATTTATTGGGTTTTTTAAACTGTCGAAAATCTAATTTAGCCATTTTGGAGATTTGAATTTGTGCATAATTTTTTTCTGCAGCGTTCTGTATTACATTTGTTTTTGTATATCGGTGTTTGTCCCACTTCCAGTTCCAGGAATTCATTTTTTCTTATTCCATGACAAAAAGTCATGGAAACCGACTGTACTTGTAAATAATATTTATGTACACGTATATGGTATGATATTTCATTTGTGTTCATATTTTGCTGGTCTCATTTCGTTCTTGCCATTTCGATACAGTTTGTTTATACAACGACTATTTTATGTGTCAGTTGTACTGTTTGACTGTGGCTTCGCAATGAACATTGTAGCTATGCATGTTTCCCATTACGATATTCACCGTTGTTGCATTGCTGTCTTTAAGTGGTTTGAGGAATTATTGGAGAGGCTATAATATTTTGTATTGACACATTATTAACCGCACTGAACATTTTTTTTTATCAGACGGTTTATTTATGTCGGCGCTGATCTTCTAATTTAACTAAAAATCGAATAGGCCTACTTTTTTTCACTTCGAGTATGTAAAACGTACCAGTCAAGACAAAGCGCGAATTATATTAAATTTACCAACGATACTCTGACTCCTATTATCTTAATTGAAACAAAACTTTCGCAACGCAGGACACACACAAATATGTCAATGCATTCAATTTTAAGTTTAGTTGATTTTTCTTCATATTTCAATTCAACACTTGCTCATCTTTTAAAGTTACATGTATATACACTTCTGAGCAGTCTCTTTACATGGAACAAATAACGAACAGCCTGGATATTGGGACAATAGCGAAGTTGTAGTCGGACGGTATTTCCTAATAGATGATAACGCTATGTAATGAAACATTTCTGATACCAATCGGTGATTGAGTGGCACAGTCGAAGCCGTTTTTGTGCAGAGCGTGTCGGCATCACTGTGTGCGGACTTGCGCTTCAAACGTAACAAATTGGTCTGCCGATGATTTTTTCCTACGCCGAAAGCTGTAATAAACAATTGAGGCAGAGAATCGTCCAAATCTGTTAACGCTGTTAATACAGGGTGTCTCAACAATGTAGCAGTCAATCCATCAATATTAAAAATACTGGCACTCTCTTTTTTGCAAAACTATGTAGTCCGAAGATGTAGCAAGTACTATACACAGTGGTCTTTATCCCATCTCATTTGAACACCCAGTCCAGAGATAAAGCTAATTAAATGAAAGGACTTGAATTCCAAGTTGGGCCACGTGGTATCTAATGAAAGGCATTCACGTACTAAGAAGGTGAAGAAAGTGGCTCAAACAGATTTTGACACGAGCTTTGCCGTAACTTTGAAACAAAAGGTCCAAATCACACAGAACAAAAATCCTGTCAAGGCTAAAGAAACACTTTATCATCTCATGGTATTTTTTTTACCAAAAAGACGATTTAGTTTCCTCAGAAAAAAAGTTGCTTCACTGCAACATTTTTTTATGCAACAATTTTTTAGACACCCAGTACAGGGTTCAAGCTGGTATGTAACTGTATGGAAGAAAACAAGTCATTCACTCGTGTTATTTATTCAGGAATTTCCATGTGTCTCCTATCTTACCATTTTTAACCTTCCATATCTCGAAAATGTCCAGTACTATTTCGTTTATATTGTTCTCGATGTACTGTCGTACATCATTTTGTTAGTGCTGTGTGCCGCGAACCGTGCATTGAGGGTCATTTCAGACGGATCGAAATTTCCCAGTTACGATTATGCCGTCATAAACTTGAAGTGTAAAACGCCACCGCATATACGCTTTACTTCAGATATCATTTCGTGTCTTGATTTGACGAATATACATTTGTTCACGTTGCTTTACTGACTTTCAATGTAATTTTTCCACTGAGCTATTGATACACTTGAACAGTTTGATAAATTGCTGACAATTACAAGAGTTAATTGAACACAGTAACTCGGTACAAGTAACGGTGAATGACGGTGAGATATAAATGTTAAAAAAAAAACCTAAAGAGAAAGCTGACCTTATTATACGTTGGTGATACATGGGATTGGTGGTATAAGTACCACGTGCACCAGTTAGGAAATATTTCTTTCACGTAAACAAAATTATAAGTGAAAAAGAAAACACTTTGGGGCTCATCAACCACCGATGTCACTGTTGCCAAGAGTACAAGGTAAAAACACAGAGTAAATACGGAAAATCCGTAAAAGCTAGAAAAAAAGCTCCTTTTCAGTAAAAAATACAAGTGCATATTGGTATAATTTATCGTTGTGTCGTGAAGATGTGACACGGTTTGGCCCAAGTAACGCCAAATTGTCTGCGTTTTTTTGGTAGAAATCCGAACTTCTTGCACGATCCCTGGCACACCACGGAGGTGTTTAGGTCACTTGTTCACTCCGATACGGATTTATTGCTCAAGAAGATTCATGCGCTGTTAAATAATTTAACACTGTGTATAAGTAGACAGGGTTTGAAAATCTAACAACGATATGATAACGCGATTCTACCTGAATGTGTACTCTTACAGAGCCCCTGGAAATTTAGACGTATAGCTCCCCTTACCCCCTCTTTGACCTTTAACCCTTCTCTTGGTTTTCCCTTCATCTGCTGAGAAAGGAGTGTATACCAACACCATGGTATAGTGACTAGTAACATCCGGGGACTTAGTTAGGTTATCAAAAGTTCTAAAGTATAACGGTGACATCACGTGTCACGTGGTTGGTTTTGTGGCCGTGTTTGTTTCGTCAACCCTGCTCCAAAAAAGTTTGATTCACGGAAACAAGATGACAGGTGTGCAGTTGGCTAAGACGTATTGAGCAGATGGTTTTGTTCTGTCTTCTAGCAATTTTAGGATTTTTTACTGACCTGCCGACGTTTTGCTCACGAAAATCTTATGAATTGTACCTTTTTATCCAAAGTTTATCCGTGACATTTTAACGAACTTATGATAATTTTTGTTTAGTACATGTATGGTTTATATTTGTCTTTCTCGTTGTGTGTGTACCCTGCATGTGTTTTAGATTCTAAAACCGTGTCCTGGGTTTTGTGTACATTTTTGATGAGATAAAAAAATGATTTACTAAACTACTAAACTTAAAAAGCCTACTAAATTGTACTTAGAAAAGTATTGGTTTTAAGTTTTTAATCGAGAGAGTACAAATACAGGGGAAAAGTGTCTCTTTGGGAGGAGAGATTTTTAGCCACCCTGCGGCCTGCTAGGGGATTTCATCCACAATGCACACTGTTTTGAAATTGACTTCACCGTCAAATATTTCATCTCCGCTGACTCTGTTCCCGGAACAATGAAAACAAAGTATTGTTGGGGATCTAAAAACCGCTTGAAAGATGAGCAGGATAAAAAAAAAGGCTGATTTATCGCTCCAGATAGCTCATCTAGGACGGGGAATCGTAAATCAAGTTATACAAGAACAAACTTGGGTATATACTGATGAACTTCTTTCATGATGTAAGTATTGTGCCTTTGATGATGCAAGCATGGCATTTGGCACACAGTCAGAATATGTCATTTGGCTGGCTCGGCAAAGTTACTTTCGAAACTTGAGTTACTTTTAAACAGTGATTGTTATTGATGTTGACTTGAAGAATGTTGTTTCGGTCGTAATGTTGCTCGAGAATGCTCAGTCATGTTGTATTAATGTGACCCCCAAATTCTCTGACTAAAAGTTGGTATTACCCATCGTAAACTGAGTGACAAGCGCAGCCTAACGGTGTTCGTGCAGTGTTACGCTGTAGCACTGTAGAGGTCACCATTGCAAGACACGCTAATTATTGTTTGGATAATGAACAAGTACTGCACCTGATGAGGTTTATTAGGAAATAGTTTATGAGAAATAGTGGTTCATCAACACTGAAACCTTAGGAAGATAAAATAAGTTAACATTTCGACAAGGTATCAATTCCAGAAAAAAAACTTGCATTCAGGGTAACGACAAAAGTTATAGCTTTTTGTCCCAGTTTTTAAAAACTATTCATATTTTTTTGTCTATACTGCAGCTCCGTAGTTTTTATTCTTTTTTACCTTACCTTATTTATTTTTCCGACTAACGTTTTTATATGGAAGATATAGAATTTCGAAGTTTTTATCGTCCTTTTGATAGGCCTGATATAAACAGCGCCCTCTGTTAATGTTTCTTGTCCATTCAAACTGTACTGGCTTATTTAGATGTATATTTTAAGTACTTCTGTGACAACGTTTTTTTCTGATATTCTCATTTTACAGAAAAGCCCGTTGATTTTTATTTAAATCCAACTGACAAAAAAATGGCGAATTGTCTACTAACGTATTCTCTTTACAGAATTCATTATAAGAATGATTATCAAGAACCTCTTATCACCGATTCAAAACATGTACACTTTCGTTGGTTGTCTATTTTAAAAAAAAGCAATACAACTTTTTTTTTCTGTTAAGCAACTCTGCAGAATCGATCATTGTCATAAAGTTAAAGTAACGTAACAATATTTTTTTAAATTAACAAAATGATCATAATTACGATTAGATTTACCAAACAAAATGTACATTAAGAAAGACAGAGACTGACGTACATGTATATTTGTGTTTTATGATTTGAAGATCTCCAATGATTGCAACGACTTTTGATAGTTTCTATAATTGTTAGATGATATATAATAGAAGCTGGTTCATTTATCATGCTGGGGAAAAAACAAGTAAAAACTTAGCGACTTTTATGAGGAAAACCTTCTTTTTTTTGGTGTTTAGACATTTGTCGTTATTTTCACGAAATCGCTTTCCTCAGAAATTCGCATTAAGTCTGAACTTTTCCAGTTTATAAAAGCTGAAAGTACGAACGATTTTGTGTTAAGTGTTTAATGAAAAAGGGGAAAGTTTTTTTCTTAATAAACCAACTTAATATCTTCTTAAAAAAAAAAAAAAAAAAGGTCGAAACATATACTTGAAATCGTGAAAAACGTTTCCAATAATATTGCACAAATTGTACATTTGTAATTTGTAAAGTGTAATGTTGCGTAGATCTTTGAAGTAGCCTTTAAAAAAAAATACTTTTCTTTTGTCTTGGACGTTTTGATTTCCGTTTTGATGGACATACAGAATTTATATATGTAAATTACTTGTGATACAAAGTACTATACAGTATAGCATTTAACACCTTATACATAGCATGATTATGTGAATATGATAATGTACTTGTGAACATTGTGGACAATGTACTCGTGTGTGCTAATATTAACCAGTTTATAACGGCAGTACTTTATGATAATCTCAATTACCCTTATTTATTCTGTACATTTTCATCAATGATTTCATTCTGAACTAAACTATTTATGAATAACTGGCTTCAGCTTGTAACCGTTTCCCGTGGTGGGGAGTTTCTCGTTTTGTATTAATCCTTCTCTTTAATTGTACCGCACAGGGTCGGTCATTACGTCATCTCATACAGGGATGACGTATTAGGCGATGACATAATGCTCGAGTCTGACGTCATTGAAAGTGTACGTAGATCGCCAACGAATTTGTTGCTTTTCCTTGACGTCACATCTGGTTTGGGGTGTTGTTGTTTTTTTTCCATCGGAAAAAGGCGACTCTTAAACAATAAAATTTGCTTGTCTTTATTTCTGTTAATCATGTGCCTAAATAATGTAATTATCAGCTGAAATATCTGTGCTGGATGTAATAAATCGAAAAGAATCTACGAACATCTTGTAAAAGGTGAACAACTTGCTGCATTGCCGAATATTTCCTGTTTTTCTCGTGTTTGCAACGCTCTTTCGGGCCCCCGATCAAGACTGGTGCAGTCAACCATCACTGCTCCTCACTGTCCCCTTGAGTGCCGTATATGTGGTGATCGTTTTAAGTCGACCCATTCACAAGTACCCCCCAACGGTAAAAGAGAGAGGGAAAGTGAAGGACACTCGAACGCCACTGCTACTAGAACGATGGGTTTCTTTGCGAAGGTGCCACGGATTTATGCACATTCAGATTGCGCGTACACCGCGCCGAATGCGCACGCGTGCACATCGCGTCGTTCACAGACGTGGTAAGGCAAACAGCGCCACCTTCTCGTGCGCGCCTGATTCAAGGGTGCCGGCGACTTCTGATCGCTTCCACAAAATTAAGAAAAAACATACACCGCAAAGCATTGTGGGTACCTTTTGGTCCTGATTAATTCACGTACATTCCATGCGTAGAAGGAAGTGTTGACCCCGGGTCACTGGTTGAACATTTGTCCAATGAGAACTCAAAGAAATTGGAGGCTACCAGCGCCGTTAGAATGGGCGGTGGGGGCGAGAGAACGACAATCCAAACTTGTTCTGTTAGACATCGAGCTTCATGCCTTTCGCGTTGGGCCATGGTCGAGGCATCTTTTTTTATCTGCTTGGATATACAGGCATGTGTGCACTTTGTGCATTCTCTCGTGAGAAGTGATCGGCTACCATTATTGTGGACCTTGATTTCCTTGCTTTTGTTCTCCTTTAGTTTCTTTAGTCTCAAACTCCATAGTTTGAGACTAGATGGGCACTAGACAATGGGATTTCTAAAGACCGACTGACAGGCGGTTGAAGGTTCCATCGTTCTTATTGGTATTCTTTGTTCTCTGTACTAGAACTAAGACCGTTTGCGGGAGAACATTGTTACTCAACTGAATTGAAATGTTTAACAGAAAACGCTGACTAAGATGGTTGCTCTGCATTAACTCTAGCGATGCCATATGCGTAAAATGTGGCAAACTGAAGCAGCAGTAGTCATTTCGTTATGGCTTCTTTAAAAAATATCTACATTGCATCCAATTAATAACTACGGTCGTGAAACTGACAATTTGGAATGAGAAGAATCTTAAAGACCCCCAGACAAGCTACATCTTAACTGCTCTGAACGTGCTTCAGGCCTCGTCAGTGACATGTTGTCAGACGGGTGGATTATATACCAGACGAATACCCCGTGTCCGTGTTACCCGAGCACCGTGCAGCACGTCGTTCCACGGCCGTCAATAAACGTGCGCGCCAGGCATCTTCCGGTGTCGGCCTGCCCGCTGCGTGGCTTTGTTTCTCGGTCATTGATTAACGACGTTGAACTTGGGACGTGACTTGGGTCCGGTTTGGCTGGTGGTGGGATTACAGACCTGCCGCACCTGTTGTCCTCTTCTTCAAAAAGAGAAAAAAATAACCATGTCAAAAGAAACTACTGATTTTGTCTACTGAACTCGTACCAGACCATTAGCTCCATGACCAGACCCAGTATGAGATGAAATTGGTGAGGGAAGGCTATAAAAACTGGGAAATGGGGCGAGGGCAGTGTAAAAGAGATTTTATTTGATGATTTGTTTACTTTATTTGATGATTTGTTAATGGCTCGTTTTGTCCTCTTCTATTGTGCTCTTTCATTGGCTTTTATTCCCGATTTTCCCTTGCTTGTCTGAAAGCTATCCGGGCCAACTTCCCTGGCCAATTTTACTCGGTCTCGCTCTTTGCGAGTTATTGTAGCTCCGGGGCCAATCAGCAACCTTGGCCGGAGCGATATGCATATACCGTCGGCTGACTGTAGCCAACTCACGGTAGAAGAATTCCCCTTCGGTGATGTGACTTGTCAGTGGCAAATTTCTCGGAGCTGCTAAGCAGAGAATTTTCTGAGCGTGGAAAATATTTGCTTAGCAAAAAAAAAAGGTTACCAGCCAAAATGCTGTGCATTGTACATTTCTCCTGACTGGGACCCACCTGATTTATGCTTACCCTCTAAGCTTGCTTAACATTATTTCTACTTAGCATTATATCTACGTAGTGGCTTCATGAAATGGCCGTAGGTTTGTGGCTGGACACCGAGTTGACTAGTCTGAGGATCAACTATTCCCTTGTGCAGAGCCACGGTCCTGACATGCAAAGTTTATGCGACCGCGCACGCCAGCCAATCGGAGTCGACTCAAGAAAACTGTGACGTCATTTCGATCAGAAATGTGGACTAAGCTGTTGATTGGTCAATTTGGATGCCATGTTTTTGTAAAACAAGAACGGGATAGCGAAGACCCGATAGAAGGCGCCCGCTGAATGGTCAGATTAAGAACGCAGTCTTGTTTTGCATTATTAGTTGCCCAAACTGCACGCATGTCACAGATCATTGTTGTGCACAGTGATATTCTGACTGGCGCAAGTAGAGGCACCAACGTCTGATTTAACAGTGACTTGTGGCAAACTTGTTCAGAATTGTGATGGATCACGCGTAGGCGAGCTATGTGACCGTTGACCGGGTTTGGCCATCATTCAAACGCAATTGAATGTACTTTTCCACAAAGTAATCTTTCTAACTTTCGCAAACCGGTCGGAGTTTCTTCCAACTGAGCGAAGAGAAGTTTTTCACAGGAAAAGTAAATCATGTAGTAACTTATACTGCTTCGATGCCGCCATCCTCCCGTACGCGCATTTCTGCCTTAAAGAGACGTCAGAACATTGGCAGTTACCCGAAAATATACCTACCGATTTCACGAGAAAATCCTTGTTCAAAGTGAAGATAGGACTGATACCAGATACCCTGTGAAATTATTGCGCCTGAAATGGTATCATTCGGAAGAAAAAAAATCACTGAAAGTGGATTTAGAAACTGTGCCGGCGGGCACAGATTTTAACGTGCGTTAACAATGGAATCCAGTTACGAGCCCCCCCCCCCCTCCGTTTTCTCACAATGTACAGGGAGTTTCAAAAGAAAGTATACCTATTTTTAAATGTAAATTATCCGAAATGAACTGAATATTTCAGAAAGAGGCAACTGCAAGAAAAAAAGGCCAGGATGTCCTTTATCCAATGATATTAAGTTCATTACGTCATTGTAATGGGTGAATGAGCGAACAAGTTAATATGATTTTATGCACCCTTCTTAAGAATTTGAGCAATTTTGTTGTTTCTTACGAAAATAAATCAACGGCAGATCCAGGGGGCCAAGGAGGGCCATGCCCCCCCCCCCCCCCAGGGCGGATCCAGAACACAATTTTTGGGGGGGGCAAACAAAAATTTGGTCCTCCCAAAAAGCGGGTCAAAAAAATTACGGCGTGGGGTTCGGGGCCCGCTGAAGGGCCCCGAAAAAAATTTGGATTCTAGATGCTCTGTGATGCGATCTGAGGCAATTTCTGACCACTTTAACCAATGTTTTTTTGAGGAAAAGATGGTGGTGCACTCATTGCCTGCCTTTTTTGCGATGTCACATAAAAAAAATAATTGGTTTCGTTTTTTTGGGGGGGGCCATGGCCCCCTTTGCCCCCCCCCCCCCTGGATCCGCCCTTGTGCCCCACCCCCCCCCCCCCCCCCCGAAAAAAAACTAACCCAATTATTTTTTTTTTTTAAGTGACGTCGCAAAAATAGGTAGCCACTGCGTACACCACTTTAAAGAAATTTGTTAAAGTGTTCGGACATTGCCTCTGATCGCACCACACAGCATTTAGAATCCAAAAATTTTCCGGCGCCCTTAAACGGGCCCGAACCGTCACACCGTAAATTTTTGAATGAAATTTTTAGGGGAAAAACATTTTTTTGGCCCCCCTTAATTGTGTTCTAGATCCGCCCTTGAAAGAAATGCCCAAAAGAAAATGTTTCCATTACCTTTAAAACTAACCAATTATTCCATGCACCAATCGCGAGTTCGTGGGCCCTACTAATGCTTCCCTTGTGGCGACCGTCCCATGCGCTCGATGCCTCATCATCGCAATCACACAATGCTGTCAATTACACACATCACACTTGGGCCACTCGAGAGTCATTCATCAACACCGTCGGACAGACGCGAGCAGCTCAAGCCAGGGTCTGACAGACGCCTTGTTTGCACGCGGTCCCATGCGAGGGTTGCAGGGAGCTACACTGCCGTCTGTTACGGCGGACTCCCGGTCTCCTGCCTAGGCTAGGCCCGGATTGTTGGGACATTTGGAGAATGTTGTATTGCCAATTCTACAATGTTAAGCTTTATTATGCCTTTATTTAAAGATGCGTTCCCCTTATATTTTCGAGTTTCACCTTTAAAATTATATATTTGGGGGTGTTTTTTTTCAATTCCTGTCATTTCCCTATAGAAATTAAAACGTTTTTTTTTTAATGAGACATCGAACGAAAAAATCCACAACGTTTAGTCATTGAATTATATCTTCACACAAATCGAATTATTGGCTGCTAGACGATAATTCGGTTCTCACATGCAACAAAAATGAAATTCCTTTTTCAGAGGGGTGCAGACGCCCCAAATCGGAATAAAGTAGGGTTTGTTTTCGTTAAAACAAAACATACAAATTGAAAATACGTTAGGAGAACAAAAAACTATTTTTTTAAGGGTAAAAATTAAAATAGGATTTAAAAAAAGGTATTAAAGATCATACCCCGATCTTTAATACCTTTTATTATCCTATGTTAATTTTGCCATTTTACAAGAAGAATTAATATTTCGAAGTGAAATGAAATGAAAATTGTCTTCTGGTTCAGGTTCAGAGACAGTGGAGCGATGTGTGTGTTTTTTTACAGACGCATCATAACGAAAAATTCATTAATAATCATATACGCATTAACTAAATCATCTTAGACAGGCTATTGTCAACAAAACATCACTGAAGGAACTTGCGTTTTGTAGACCTGCAAGAGTGCGAAATAAACACGTTATAGTTCCCAAAATATTGCGAATATAACTTCAAGAATTTGGATTATTGAGATTTCGGATACATTTTTAATTGCATCCAAGCACAGAACGATGA